TAACGAAGTGAGATCATCGTGTGTATTTTAGTTTTTGTGTATTCACATATATCTAAATTTGTTATATATTTCAATAAACTTATGATTTTGACATATATAATTTTCCTAAAAATATTTCTATATGAATTACCAAATCTGAGTATTCGCTATTCAGCGGTCGGTCGAACGACTACCGAATAACGAGTTCTACAACCTTTTCACCACTTGTAGTGGCTATGGTGGTTTGAAAACCCTCGATCTAACATTCTCGTCATCGATGGTGATATCTATAATGAATGGTTGCCTGGAGGAAGTATGCTTTCTGGGATTTATTTCACATTGTGTGGGTAGTCAACTGGTATAGTTTTTGTTGAGAATGGCTAACTATAGTCAATGATCGATGATTTCCAGCAAGATGATACAACGACGTAAGGTGGTAAAATGCAATAAATATTATTTATTATAAATAAAAATAATAAATTTAAATTAATAATCCAATGAAAAGAACTAATGCAATAAAAAATTTTAAAAAAATAATTAAATGAAATTAATAACCCAATAAAGTAACACTTACTAATATATAAATACTATATGCTAAAACTAATATTTTTTTAATATATAATAATTCAATAAAAAAGAATTAAAACAATAAAGAAGAAATAAAAAAGCAATTAAAATAATAATAAAAAAGTAGTATTTATTAGTATATATAATATATTATATATAATAATCCAATAAAAAGAATTTACAAAATAAAAAAATATAAAAAATTAATTAAATGAATTAATAATCCAAAAAAGTAACACTTACTAATAGATCAATATTATATGTTAAAAGTAATATTTATTAATATAAAATAATCCAATAAAAAAGAATTAATGCAATAAAAAAGAAACTCAAAAAAAATTAATAGTAAAAAGTAATATTTATTAATATATAAATATAATATATTAAAAATAATATTTATTAATATATAATAATCCAATAAAAAATAATACAATAAGAAAAAAGTTAAAAAGAAAAAAGTTATTAAAATAATTAATATATAATAATTCAATAAAATGAAAATGAAAAATTACATGATTGGTCATTGTAGTTTGGTAAAAATATAAAACTACAGAAATGGTCTCAGGGATAAATTCTTTCATTTGCCAAAAGTTAACAGCCATGTTGTTAAACTTAACGAGGTTGGAACCAAAAACGCAACAAAACCATCAAATAGGGAGTTTTTTGTTAATAAACTTTTTTTTGAACGTTACCCATAGCAATTGACAAACCATAAGGACCATTTTCGCAATTTTGTCTTCAAATTAAATTGTAATCCTTTTTCACTGTAAGATGCTAAACTGATTCTTAAAAACACTATCATATATGATAACTAAGCGTATGCCCGCGCGTTGCGCAGAAACATTTATATAGCTGAAATATTACCAATATATGTTTTTTTAAATATAACAATTATGTGGTTATTAAACTTGATATAACAATTCGTATACTAAATTGATATAATATATAGATTAATTTGAATTATATTATAATATATACATCTATTAAAACCACATAATCTCAATCTTTTGAATGGCCTCTACCCGTGGGTTATTCATGAATAAAATTAAATATAATATATAGTTTAATGTTATTTATAGTTGTTGTTATTATTAATTATTTTTTTTTAAATTTATTTGTTTAACGTTTTAATTTCTATCATTATAATTATTTAAAACATCAAACATTTTTTTTATTTTAAAGGTAACAATATAATTATTTATATAGAGTTATTTTTAACTATTGTTTTTGTAAGTTATTTTAAGCTACTTATTTGAAAACTTTTAACGATTATAAGACTATCTTTAGTAAATATTTTAGTTAAATTGATACTACAATTTAGTTTTTGCATTTAGCGCTATAATTTTTCATTTTTAACTATTCACAAAATATTCTTTGAGTTTTTAAGTGGAACTGAAATTTATATTGAAGTTGACTTTGTAATGTTATATTTAAATTAACAATTTAACTATTTTATACAAACTGTTAAAAGTTGTAGCTTTAAATTGAGAATGGTTTTACATACAACAACATATTAAATCTAATAAATTAAGTATAATATATTAAAAGTTAAAGATAAAACTTTCTAAGTAGAAGTAAAAAGATTATTTTAATATTTAAATTTAGTTTATTTATAATTACACTTTAGGTTTGATACTTATTTAACCTTATTAGTCAACTTATAATCATTATTAGAAAGACACTACAATTTATCATTTTTAACTATTTATAAAATATTCTTTAGGTTGTTTAAGTTGAACTAAAATTTATATTTAAATTTGATCTTGTAAGGTTATATTTAAAATAATAATTTAAATGTTTTATACAAATTGTTCAAAAGTTGTAGCTTTAAAATGATAATGATTTACATACAACAACATATTAAACCTAACAAATTAAGTATAATATGTTAAATGTTAAAAACATAACTTTATAAGTAGAAGAAAATATATTTTTTTAATATTGAAATTTAGTTTATATATGATTACAATTTAGGTTTTATATTTATTTAAACTTATTAACCAATTTATAATCGTTATTTGAAAGAAATTGAAAAATTATTGGAGTTTCAAATAAATGTGGTTAAAAAAAATGAATGAAAATTTCAAATGCATGATATTCAAAAAAAAAAAAATACTAGATTTATAAGTATATATTGATAATAACAACTAGGTTAAAACCCGTGGAACCCACGGGTGCTGTTTTTGAATTGAATTTAAAAATTAATTATTTAATAAAATATTATATCATAACTTATAAATTGTAATATTGAATATTTAAATAATTTTTTTTATTGGTAATTATTTAATTACTAACTAAATGGGAAGTATTTAATTAGGAATGAAGATTTTTGAAAACTATTTTTTTTTATTCATCATTCTAATTGGACATATGCAGATGATACAATACCAATGTGTGTAATGAAATTAACATAAAATACAACAATACGTAATTATAAAAAAATACAGTAATATGATGGATTAAGTGTGATTTCCTAAAATTGAATAAAACGACGTTACAAAAAAGTTGGCTACAAATTGATCTTTACATATATAGCAATATTTTTATTATACAAATTGATTGATTGATTGATTTGTCTTAATTGTTAATTGCGATATATCAAGCAGATGAAGTAAGATCGATTGTTTTGAAATGCGATGTCAAATCTGTTGAAGGGTGTAATGATTATTGTTTTCGAATGGTATGTGTTTGATTGGTTATTGGGTTTGTATACAGGGATCGATTTTAAACGGAGGTTAAAGATTGTGGGAACGAATAACTGTTAAATTTGATGTTTTCTGGAACGAAGCCTTGGTTATTAAATGAATCATACGAAGGATCTGTTATTTGATTTTGGAATTGGGGCGAATAATCGAACGATTTGGAGTTGCGAATTTGATTTTGAAAAGCCAATCAGTTGGGTTCGCATATGAAAACAGATAAGTTTTGATTTTGGATTCACAATTGGGTTAATTGGGTTATTGATTGAGGGACGATTCGTGAAGAAAAATGCGAAGTCAAGATGGACTGTGAAATGTGATTTGTTCAATATTGGAGTCAAATGCAGTTCATGTGTAAAAGCAAAAATGTTCGCATTTGGTAATACAAATCAAAATTGGGTTTCGCATATGAGGTTGTATGGATTGGGGTTAAAGATGCGAAGGTGATTATGGTTAATATTCATTTCGTATTTGGTGAGACAAACAACTCAAATGCGAATGAACTAAAAAAAATGACTGGAACATGCGAAGAAAGAGGGTGAATGAAGAATGTGAATTTTACAGTAGAATGCGAATTGGGGAAGAAAGCTAAGAATTTCGAATTTTTATTATACAAATTGATTGATTTATTTATCTGTCTTAATTATTAACTACGATATATCAAATACTTATCAAGTTAGGGGCAATATGGTCTTTACATATATAGCAATATTTTTATTATACAAATTGATTGATTGATTGATTTGTCTTAATTGTTAATTGCGATATATCAAGCAGATGAAGTAAGATCGATTGTTTTGAAATGCGATGTCAAATCTGTTGAAGGGTGTAATGATTATTGTTTTCGAATGGTATGTGTTCGATTGGTTATTGGGTTTGTATACAGGGATCGATTTTAAACGGAGGTTAAAGATTGTGGGAACGAATAACTGTTAAATTCGATGTTTTCTGGAACGAAGCATTGGTTATTAAATGAATCATACGAAGGATCTGTTATTTGATTTTGGAATTGGGGCGAATAATCGAACGATTTGGAGTTGCGAATTTGATTTTGAAAAACCAATCAGTTGGGTTCACATATGAAAACAGATAAGTTTTGATTTTGGATTCGCAATTGGGTTAATTGGGTTATTGATTGAGGGACGATTCGTGAAGAAAAATGTGAAGTCAAGAAGGACTGTGAAATGTGATTTGTTCAATATTGGAGTCAAATGCAGTTCACGTGTAAAAGCAAAAATGTTCGCATTTGGTAATACAAATAAAAATTGGTTTCGCATATGAGGTTGTATGGATTGGGGTTAAAGATGCGAAGGTGATTATGGTTAATATTAATTTCGCATTTTGTGAGACAAACAACTCAAATGCGAATGAACTAAAAAAAAATGACTGGAACATGCGAAGAAAGAGGGTGAATGAAGAATGCGAATTTTACAGTAGAATGCGAATTGGGGAAGAAAGCTAAGAATTTCGCATTTTTATTATACAAATTGATTGATTGATTGATTTGTCTTAATTGTTAATTGCGATATATGAAATACTTATCAAGTTAGGGGCAATATATTTTATTTGAGTTATAACCAAAATCAACTAACTTGTCCAATTTAAAACAATAAAAGTATCCAAAAATATTCAAAACCAATAATATTTGACATCCTAAATACCCCAAAATAAAAATCATACCAAGCAATTAAAATATCTTTATAACCAAAACAAATGATCAAAATATATTAAATGTGTCTTATAACCGATAGAAACTCACTTTTCAATTTTTGGAATCAAGAGTGGAGTTTCCTCTGCGGTTGACTTTCTTTTAGCCTTAGTTGAACTTAAATCATATCCAGAATCAACATCATAAATTTCTTGGAGGTTGCGCTTCAAATCACCTGATATTTTGCAAGGACTTGTTGCGGTTGACTTATCAACTGTTGATGGTGTAAAACTTTCGTCTGTTTGTGAGATCACATCCTAATTTAAAAAAAAAATGTTTGATTCCTAAAAAAAATAACTAATATAATTAAAAGTTTATAAAATAAAATGAAAAACCTTTTGAACAGGCTGTACAACATCATCGGATTCCAAAGCAACTTGATTTAAGGAGACAGATTGAATACTCTAAAAAATAAAATGGAAATATGTTAATCGTTATGTACTTTAACATTAAAGAATTGTAAATTTTCAACAATAAAAAATTACATACCATAAGTTCTATTTTACTTTCCAATTCACAAACAATGGACATATCTTCTGTAACTCTGAGAACTGTGTAGATGTTATTATAGTTGTTGACATTGTATTCTGTAATATCTACAACAAAACCAAACTTGCGGTTTTTCAACACGTTAAGTTGCATTGGAAATGGGGCATCACTGTCTCCGGCCTGTAAGATATATTTTAATAAATTAAAAAAATTAAGTAAATGTTTTCTGATTTTAAAGGTATGAATAATATACCGCATCATGTATCTTTTTCAACTCGTAGGCACTTATATTTAACAACTCCTTGCTTCCCTATCAAAAAGAGTCAATCCAATGGTTCCAGTACAATCTTGTACGTTAATTGGAATTATATACCTAAAACAAAAAATAATTATGTCATTGTTAGTGTTGTTTTAAGATTGACAAAATTAATAGAAATAAATATGTCTATACTTTATAACTGACTGAAATTCAGATTTTTTGCATTGTGCATTTGTACACTCGACAACCATAGTTTCTGAAATTCCCTCAGGGTTGGTATACGAATGATTGGTTTTGGGAACAGGGATAATTTTTTTTCCACATTTTTTGCATGCTTCATAATACCATGGTAGATTCTGCCTTATATTAACAATGGAAGAAACTAATAAAAACTTCATTTCCTGTATCATATTAAATGTAAAAATTATTAAAATAAATTATGCAAAAATAAAATGTAAAACATATAAAATAATGCAATATACCTTAATTGGTTCGGTGATGTCACAGATTGTTTTTAATGGAAAATTGCCCTTAAAGTCATCTGTATATGAAGAAGAGTAGCTTTGAAGTGTAGTTATGCTTTTTTCAGTTATACCGAAATTGTCATGACATTTTAACCTGTAATGTTTAATTTAGATTCATGAATATTAGGTTTTGTGTTTTTTTTAAGTTAAAATACATTATAAAAAAATAAAAAACAATTGGAAACTAACTTATTTTTAAACTCATTTATTTCATAAATGTCAGAATTTATGAATAATTTCGTTACTTCAAAATGACTTTTAGCTTCACCAAGACCTGTAAAAAATGTATATCCAATTATTAAAATTTATATAAAAACAGTAATTATAAACATCTATATATAAAGACTGAATACAAACCATTCCAAATGTTTAGCTTCAAAAACTGCATCACGATAACAACAAAATTAACAGTCGGGTTATTTTTTAGGTATTCTGAAATTTGATATGCTTGACTTCCAAAAATAGTAACCTTCAGATGTACAGAACTAAATAAACCGTAAAATAGTATATTAATATTAATTTGTGATTAATTAAAGATAATAAATAATAAATAAATAATACAATATAATCTCACTCTAGGTTGCTAAGAGTGACTTTTATATAATGCTTGGATGGTACTGGATTTGAAGTTTCAAGAGGCCTAAATGACACGATATGTCCAATAACATCTACACAACAGATACCACAAAAAAATAAAAGTTTAGGATTAAATTCGTAATATTTAAATAATAAAATGTATAACCAAAAAAACAAATGATAAAAAATGATTTTATTAATATTTTATGACTAACCAAAGAATGTGTCTTTTGGGCATGTTTGTTCTATGATAGAATTAAAGTCAACAAACATAAATCCATTGACCGGACCCGAGAAATCATCACATTTTTTTAGGATGCTTTTCCAATCCAAAGTTAAGGTCTGTTTATGACCTGTATAACTAAAACCATTAGTAACAGCAGCCATATTGGGTTTTATAACTATATAACTTTCATCTTCCTTTAAAAGATGACGAAATCTAGAGAAATTCTGATTGAAGACACGAGCTTGGTATTGTGTACCCTGTTTAAAAAAAAATTAAAAATTATTATGTTCATGAAACATGTCTAATATTGAATGATGAATAAAAAATATATCAAATACAACAAACCTCCTCATCCATGATGATCATTTCAATGGAACAAACTTTATTATTTCTGACAAAGTTCCAAATTTTAAGCACCCGAACCTTGATATGCGATTTTTCATCTATCTGGTCAATGTTATTTAGGTAAACCTTATTTCCTATTTCCATTTTCTGCAATAAATTTAATCATTATAGAATTGTAAGGAAAATTAGCAACCTTTTAAAATGTACAGAACATCCTAACCAATAAGTAAAACAGAAAAATTATAAATCAACACATGACAATAACAACTGACTTAATGTACTCATAAATTTTTAAATTGAATAATTCATTTTATAATAAAATGGAATACAAACAAAAACAAATAATTCATATGAAATAATGTTTTAGATTGAATAAAAGTTTATATAATAAGATGGAACACAAATATATAATAAACATGAAAATGACAATTATACCGAAAATGCCCCTGCAACATACTAATACTAACAGATAACATAACAATGAGTAAAACAGAAAAATTAAAAATCAACACATGACAATAACAACTGACTTAATGTACTCATAAATTTTAAAATTCTAAATTTTTTTGAGATTGTATTTAGATAAAAACAAACAAATTTTAAAATTTCATACCATAAAAAAAAGTTACTGTGCACATCTGAAAAAGACTATTTTTAATTTTTTTTAAAGAAAATGAACTTGTAATGTTCATTATTTTTTCGTCTTTTAAACTGAAAAGGTAGAAGAAGTAGACGATTAAGAAGAATTACAAAAAAGAAGAAGAATAGAAATCATACAATGAGAACGTGATAGATACAGATAAATAAGAACATGGAGGAAATAGAAATATTGGTAATTCTGATTTTTGAATACACTAACCTGATATTTAATTCTTGAAGCGTTGCAGAATAACAAAGAATGAAGAAGAATACGTTTGCTGTGGTTTCTATGGAGCAGAATTGTTATGGAGCAGAATGGTAAAAACAAAATAACCGTATAAATGATATTTACGTTTGCTGAAAAATACTGCAGATTTTTAGGGATTTAATGATTGCAATATATTGAATTTGCAATCAAAATAAACAAACTTTCAAATTTAATCGTGATTTTCGAATCTGATTATTCATTAACATATTTTTTCAAATTATTTCCATAATCTTTATTCATTTAAAATTAATGCATGAATATTTTGAATGCAGTTGACAGCTAAAATTTCCTGATATATTGCATCAGTTTGAACTTTTATTCAATTTTCGGATTCAATGGCATTTACGTAAATATAGAAGAAAAAATGAACGGGAAAACTCTATTTTGGGGCTGGAAGAATACCACGTGACCGAGTTCTACTTATTTATTAGAATTAGGATGATAGTGATGTTACTATTTATTTCAGTTGTTTGTTTAATTTACTCCATCAACCAAACACTGTCACACACTATTTTCTTCGCATTTCAATTCTCCTAGGAAAAATAATGCATCAACAAAACGCACTAATTTGTTACCACAAAATTAATGTAACGAAAACAGTCAAACAACTGGACTTTATTTAATTATTATTTTTTATCTCGAAGTTAGAGTATCCACCAACTGCCCGTAAAATATCTGACCACTACCCGTTTGTCAGATTAGGTCCCGCCTTTACCCCTCCCATCTGCCCGTTGCCTGTCTTCCTTGTGCTGCCCGACGCCTCCCATTTCTCTCTACCCCTGCTTAAATGTGAAAGCTTTACCACCTTCTTCATTCACCACCTCCAACACCACTACCTATCCCTCCCTCTGGGTGGTAGTGGATGATTCCGGTGGACCTCCGCCACTCTCGTCCCTGACAATCAAGCCGTATAAGGTAGGATTAAAAAGATGGGGCAGGGGCTTAGTTGCAGAGTGCAAGAGAAACATGGGTTATTCACTGCTGTACAGTTTGGGGATTTGAAGCTTGTGAAAAGCCTTCTTGAAAGAGATCCATCTCTCGTTCAACAAACTACCTATGATCGTAATTCTGCTCTTCACATAGCCGCTGCCAATGGCCAGATCGAGGTGGGTAATTGAAGATTTCTTGAATTCTCGTTTCAGCGTTCGGTAAATAATTCATTTTTTATGATATTTGATGGGTTTCTTGACATATGCCATTTGGGTTTTTTCTTCTCAGATTGTTTCTCTGCTTTTGGAAGATCAATCAGTGAATCCCGATGCTTTGAATCGTCATAAAAAGGTGTGATTGTGTGTTCTTTTTGCGCTCTCATCGATTTGTTCCCTGTTTCAGTTGAATAAATGTGAACTATCTTTTCCCCCTTTTTTAAAAGTTTGACTGAATTTGGTTAATTTGAAAACTGGGTGTTCCTCGTTAGACTCCATTAATGTTGGCTGCAATCTATGGGAAGATCAGTTGTGTTGAAAAGCTCATTGAAGCCAGGGCTAATGTACGTCAAATTATTTCCTTTTTTCTTTTCCACTTCAATAATTTCTTTTTTAAAACAGAATTGCTGCTAATTTCGTCTGTAAGTTGCCAGATTTTGATGTTCGATTCATTAAACGGAAGAACATGCTTGCACTATGCTGCTTATTATGGTCACTCCGATTGTCTTGCAACCATTCTTTACGCCGCCCGGACCTCCCATGTCGCTGCCTCTTGGTGGGTCCCTCTTATCTTTATTAATTTCAATTCATGCATCAAAATCCGTACTTTAAAACCCAAAAAAGATACAAATCAACACTAAATTTTGTTAATCGAATTGGGGATTTCAGGGGATTTTCAAGATTTGTGAATATTAGAGATGGTAAAGGGGCAACACCTTTGCATTTGGCTGCACGTCAAGGACGTCCACAATGTGTTCATTTACTTCTAGACAGTGGGGCTCTTGTCTGCGCATCCACTGGTAGAAATGGGTACGAATATATACAAATATAACATAAACTTCTCTTATATATATAGTTATATACTTATAATACCATATATAGCGTCTATATTTTCTAATTTTTTTTTCTATTTGTCATAATTTACAGCTTCGCTGGTAGCACACCACTTCATTTGGCTGCAAGAGGAGGTTCAATGGATTGCATCAGAGAATTATTGGCATGGGGTGCAGATCGACTTCAAAGAGATGCATCTGGGTACGCTATTTAGTTTCCAAATCGTAATGTGTTTAAGTGTCGTGAAAGTTGAAGCATTATGTTCTTGATTGGTGTTAAGATGTTTGCAAATAAATGCAGGAGAATTCCGTATTTGGTTGCGTTAAAGCATAACAACGAAGGGTGTGCAGCTTTGTTAAATCCATCATCTGCAGAGCCTTTGGTGTGGCCATCGCCATTAAAATTCATTAGCGAGCTTAATCAAGATGCAAAAGCTTTGCTAGAGCAAGCTCTAATGGAAGCTAATAGAGAGAGGGAGAAAACAATCTTAAAAGGTACAGGGTACACAGTTCAATCACCATCACATCAGGATACTGGATCCACCGATGATACTATTTCTGAGGTAATTTTATTTAATTTATTTAAAATTTACCATTCTTCTTACTTTGTTTAGAAAGTCAAAAACATGGGACTAAAGAAACAATATTGAAAAGACAAAGCAAAAACAGAAAGTTTGGCTTTGAAATGGTCGTAGTTGATGACTTTTGACTTTAGTGTCGATCTTTTTCTTGACTTGATCCCTTTTGGAATTCTCGTTTTGGAAAGATGCGTGATTTATGGTGTTTTTTGCGTGTATTATCAATTTTGATCATGGGTTTTTGCTTAAATAACAAAAATTGCATAAAAATCGATTCTTTCTTGCTTAATAACAAAAAGTGCATAAATCTTGATACGTTTCTACAAAAAGGGTTATTCTTCTTGTAAACAACTGAGCTGACCGACACTGTCGTGTATAATTTATATTGGGAACTCCACTCAGTGTGACTGTTGTGACTCGAACCCTTGACCAAATTCTGCAAACATACAAGAGGGATGAAAAGTCGAGTATTTTAAGTTTTTAACAAATGAATATGTTCTTTGTTTTGTAGGAAAGCGAAACGGAGTTATGTTGTATATGCTTTGATCAAGTATGCACAATTGAGGTTCAAGGTTGTGGGCACCAAATGTGTGCTCAATGCACCTTAGCCTTGTGTTGCCACAACAAGCCCAACCCAACAACTTCATCCCAAACCGCACCCGTTTGTCCCTTTTGCCGTAGCAACATTGTCCAATTGGTGGTTGCAAAAGTCAAAGCCAAAGTCAACGCTTCTGATCATGACCTTGACCTTGACCTTGACCTCTATTCGTCCACAAAGGTGCAAAAATTGAGAAAGCCTTGGAACTTAAGTGAGGGAAGTAGTAGCTTCAAGGGTCTATCGGGTGTGCCCTCGTTCGGGAAAATGGTGGGCCGTGGATCCGGGAGGATATCAGTGGATAATGAATGCATCAACAAAACATGAAAATTAGTTTAAAAAAAAGTTAGGGCTTTTTGACATGTGGCGAGCATGGATTGGTTGAAGAAAGTCGGGCCCGGTGGTATTTATGGAAAGATGTCTTCTTAAGGAATAAGCATATAAGCAAAAGCTAAAAGCAAAATGTGATTTTTTTTTGCATATTTGGGATGGTGAGTATTGTTTCTTTTGTAATATTCTTATGAATCAAGAAGGAGCATACGCCTCTTTAGAAAGTATTCTTTAAGATTGTTCTTTAGTAGATATGATAGGTATAACCTTTTTCCCTAATCACAATTCTCATATTGTAACCCGTGCATCAAGAGTTGTAAATTGAGTTTGGGGAAAAGGGTTGGCCAACTCAAAAGTAGAAAATGGGGTGTGTGGTAGATTGGACCCCACCTTTTGTAAGTTTCTTGCTTGATTGAGTATGGAGTGTAGTATTGTATAATGTAAAATCTTGGCAGTTTTCATTATTTTTATTTGTACAAAATGATTGAAGATTTCAGGGACAAGTCATGACTCATGTGATCATGTCTGTTGGTGGGAATTATTATTTATATAATTTGGCGAGATTTTATGTAATCATATGAACAAAATCTAGCTACTTGAATAGTGCGTGTGGTTGGTTTTCAAGAAAAAAGAAAAAGGGAAGCATACGAGCAGAGGTACATCCCTATCATCTGTTCATCATCATCTACTTTAACTTTAACTTTTGACGAATAAAGGTAAAACACAAACACATACAAATTTACCTCAGAAATTGACAGAAGAAGCAAAGTGTTTGATAATTGTGTTTTACTACAATTGAAGGGTGAAATGGCAAAAGCACTGTGGTGTGTGGTGAAATCAGTCAAGTCGAAAGGACCAAGGAGGAAGAAATACACATGGGGTATCAGAGATTGATGCTATTTCAATCTTGTAACAATATTGATTGAATATAGCAAAGCTGAGGCGACTTCCGTACAAAAGACAAAGTGTCATTTCACATACACTCACTCAAACAAATATATATATATATATATATATATATATATATATATATATATATATATATATATATATATATATATATATATATATATATATATATATACTAGCCGTCTACCCGCGCAAAGCGGCGGACGGCGAATAATTTGATCTCTTTAGAGTTAAAACTATTTTATGTTCACTTCGAGAAATGAATATTAAATGACATCTATTTTTCAAAAGCATTATCATACCATATTGAGGGGGTGTTTGGTTAAGCTTTTTTTTAAAACAACTTATTAGGTTCCACATCACTATAAGTTAAAAAAGTGTTTGGATTTAAATAACTTATTTTGGTGGGGAACCTCTAATACGTCATTTTTTCATAAGTTACCCTACACTTACTTATTAACTAATAAGCAATAAGCTTTTTTTGTCAAACACCCCCTAAATGTTATTACTTCCGTTTATACATACCCAAACCACTTGTACTGTTTATCGTCCTCTTTTTTTTTTTCCCGTTTTTCTTAATTCCTTTATTAATTTAATGACCTACTAAGTCAAATGCTAAAATATATAAATAATAGTTTATAAAAATAAACCTTTAGAATATCAGGTGTTGTAATTCAAAAGTCGATAAATAGGCCTTTGAGAAGGC